CAATGTTCATCTCTCAGAACTTAGAAGATGTCTTTTTTTGTGTGCCTCCATTTTTTGTGTGAAATATCATTGGCAAGATGATGCTCTTGATAGACAAGGGACTTTGCAATAATTTAGTCTAAGCATCAAATCCTGACTTTGCCACTTACAGAGTGTTCATCTGACAGTTTATCCTTTCACGATCGGTCCTTCAATGAGCCCATTTAGGCCGTTTAAATTCGGTGTAGTTATTGCTGAAATACAATAGGATAATCTCCATATACCTACACGAAAGGCCAGGTAATATGATCACTGTTCAGATTTATACAGTAACCACTAAAGCCAAGAAGGAGAAAAGTAAAGATTTTTTACCGACTCCTACAATCTGAAATTGATCTAACATTGATCTCCTCCAGTAAAGAGTGACAGTCTCAGAAACCCCCAGGGACAGTTCTACCCCGTTCTGTAGGGTTGCCCTGAGTCAGACAGACTCAATGGCTGTGAGTTTTTGTTTTCATATCTAGAGGACCAGAACGCCACAGCTACCAGGGTACCAGAATCATCCCTGCCTGCTCTCTGCATCTCCTGCATGTCAGGACTTAGAGCCACTCCCTGCACCAGGCAAACGCCCAGAATTTCACCACACAGCTCTCCACTGTTTTCCCCACTTAGAAACTGTTGCCCCAAGCCAGCTATAGTTTGTCTATTTTGGCTCTTATCGAGTAGAAACTTATTCTTTCATAGATTTTACACCTTAGAGTCAATTCTGACTTATAGAGAAACTGTAGGACAGAGTAGAACTGCCCCTGTGGGTAGTAGAAGCCTCATTTTTTTCTCTCAAGGAGTGGCTGGTGGTCTTGAACTGCAGACTTCGTGGTGAGCAGTCAGATGGGTTAGAACAGTGGTTCTCAGCCTTCCTCATGCCACGACCCTTTCATACAGTTCCTCATGTTGTGGTGACCCCCAACCATAAAATTATTTTCATTGCTACTTCGTAACTGTCATTTTGCTACTGTGATGAATATCGGTGACCCCTGTGAAAGGGTCGTTCGACCTCCAAAGGGGTCTGGACCCCCAGGTTGAGAACTGCTGGGTTAGGAGTTCAAATCCAGAGCCCTGACTCTAGGGGAAGGCTTCATCTGCGTGCCAACCCTGGAGGAAGGTCCTTGCCTCATCTCA